AGGTACCCGCTGTCGCATGCACATCCCTCCACGCACGGCAGGCTACAGTTGTAGGGTGCTAGTGGGTCAACACAGGTGGCAGGGCAGGCTGCAGCACAGGGCTCGTAGTGACTGTTGGCCGGACAGGCTAGTGCTGTGTAATAAAAGATAAACCTATTTATTAAAGATTTTTTAACTACTGAAGTAGTGGGGTTTTCCTAATAAGATATTCTGCTTTGTTTTGAAATATTTGGGGACATCTTGGACTTCTGAGGCTGTTTGATGCATGCCTTTGCTGTCTTACCACCCTTTAATTTCTCTTGAGTTTTCGGCTAATCAAAGTTTCCCTCATGGAGAGAATCTCCTAGGAGATCTCTTATTCCTGAAGATGATTGCTTTGAATTTTTGCATTGGGCTGAGGATATCAGTGTCATGTTAATTATTTATCCTAGATGTGCCATATTTAGGTTATAGTCCTGATATTTAATTGTAATCATATTGTAACTCCTTAATTTATATTTTTTCACTTCACCAAGGTCTTTAATGTTTGTTAAATAATCAGGATGTACAAGTGCTCTATGCTATTTTTAGATCTTGTTACATACACGGCATGTAGATATCCAAACTAATTAGGTATTTTAAACACTGACGTTTTCAGGTGAGAAGATACCAGAACTAAAGTTTCTTGAACAATCTTTTTTCAGCTTCTATATGTTTATATGATGCAGTTCAATTTCTAATGACATAGTTTCTCACTTATTTTTAGCCTGCTTTCCTAAGGAGACAGAGATCACACAATTACATTGTACATTTCTCTGCTCATCCTCCCACTTACTAAATTTGACACAGCTGACTCATTGGAAATAAGTTGGTGAGGTTGGTAGAGGACAAAACCATATTCAGGTCCACTAAATTAAATAGGTGCAAGGCAAAGAGGAGAGATCCTGCAAGCTCCGTCAACAGAAAGAACAGCTACAGAGAGGACTCACTCCTGCTTAGAAACCACAGAATCTGTGTGAGAGAAAACCTCAGTAACAGCCCCAGCAGAGAAAATGCTCCAGTTAGAGACTGCAGTTAAATGTGAAACAAAAGTCAGAAAGAAATCAGGCTTCAGTCATTCCAGTGTTTACAGACAAGTCTCTTTCTTTAGTCTCCCCATATCCTTCAGTGCACTGCATGGGATCACTATTTCATGTTCCTTGCATGGCTTCTGGTGGGACTAGATCTGTTCAGGACTTTCAGATGGTATTTAAACAATATTATAAAGATAACTCTTTTTCTTTTTTTTTTCTCTATAGTATATGCCTGAATACTTGAGAAATGTTCATTATTTAATCTTTATCATCATTCACAGAAGAATGGTCATTATTCCCATTTAATCTCCAGCAGAGACTTCTGTCCATTACTTCAATACTTGGCACCTTTTGTCTTGTGCCTCTGTGTGTTTCTGTCTCTTTCCCACCCTCACTACCTTCTCCACTTCCATTAGCATGATTACAATCTCCATTGCTCAGGTTTCTTACTTCAGTCCTGGCCTTTAATTCCAGACTGCCTACCTGTGTTGCCTCCTTCCATCAATTCAGATGTCATTATTCCTGCAAGAGCAACAAGCTCTGACCACTGGACCAGCTACCTAGTTTCAATCTGTCTTTCCTCTTTTCCACAGGTTTCTGAGCAAATTCTCTTTTTACTTTCTAGCTCCTACTTGCTTTCTCTAAATCCAGGGTCTTCCACTTAGCCTATTCATTAGTCCTCTTCAGTTCCTAGTCAAAGCTCCTTTCTCACTGTCCCAGACTGCCTGGATTCCTTATCCCCCTCTACAGCTCTGCCTTTCAGCTGCTCTGGCTCATGTCCCTTCTATGTTCATATAAGGTATCTGCCTTGACATGTTTTTGCTGAGGTTGCTGCAGGAGGAGAAGACACAGCTTCCCTTCTGTAAACTGGGTGCCTGGCCACCCTGCAGGGTAGAGAGGCTGGGAGCACAGGAGAAGGCAGCTCAGGCTCTCAGCAGAGAGGGTGGGTAAACTCTTACATGTCTATTAAGCATGTGCAAAATGAGACTTTTTTTTCCCCTCAAAGACACTTAAGTTCAGGCATAGCTTCTTCAGAAGGTAAAAAAACGCCTCTAAATAAAATGTCCCTTGTACACTTAATACCCCTGAACAATACTATAGAGACACCAGAGGAATTTAAAGAAAAAAATGCCAATTCTATTTTAAGATGCACTAGACAGTATTTTCTCCTTTTGGCCGAAGCAGCTTAACTATTTTCACTAGAATCTTCCCAAAGGAATCAAACTGAAGACTATATGTAACCCTGAAATCTTTAGCCTGATCAGTCAAGATTCACAATATTATATGAATTCAAAACAGTGCCTTGTAATGCTCTCTCTTCAGGAAGTCTTAATTATATCCTCCTGACAAGTGGCAATCAGCAATGTTTGATACATACGGCAGAAGGTTGCATTTCTCCATGGCGTCAGCTGGACTCCTGCAGCTTGGCACACGTCTGCATAAGCCTGCAGGTTTTGACAGAGGGCTGCATTGTTCAAATGAAGTTCACAGAGATCATACTGGCAGGCTTCAGAATAACTTTGTGGATCAACTACTGAGTGGCAATTCTGGAATGGACCATTGGGATCTGTGATCAGACCACAGTATTCATTGCTTTGGATCATATGTTTTTCATCAGCAGTGCAATTTGGAGTGTGGCCATCATCTGGCAAGCACCTAGTGTGGAAAAAAAAGATGTGGAAAAATTCACTGATGAACTTTGGATACACTAGCACCTAAGATGCTTTTCAAATCACATCTAACAAAACTACAGGCTGTCCCCAGGCTAAACATGACATATTTTAAAGCTCTACATTTCAAGCACGTAGGATAGAAATTCAGATTTTAATATAATCTCAACCTTATAACCTTTGAGAGGCCCGGAAGAAACCCAAATATTTATTTTGGCTTTCTTTTAAGTTAAGATTTCTACATGGAAGATACCGAGGAAGGGCAAACAAAAAGTAAGAGCATTCAAAGTTAAACCTCTGCTATCATTAAATAATATATTGTGAAATTATAAAATAAAGTATCTCAGAAGAGTTCAAACAAGATCTTCAAGTATTAGCATTAATATATTATAACAATAACTGAAATCTTAGTGGGCATCTGCAGTGTTTTACTCAAATTTTCTGTTTTTAAGCACAGTTAAATTTGCTATGAAACTTTACCCAGATAGATAAATTAAGTACACTGACAAGAATATATTTTATCCCATGTGCCTGACATTTTTGGCCCACATACAACAGCTGCTTAAAATACTGGTCATTGCATAAGCAACAGCTAAGGCCTAACATCCCAGCTGGAGTCCTACCTGGAGTCATTGTAAACCTGCCAACTGTTGCCAAGGCTGGCCGAGTTTGATTCCATCTCTCCATCTGGGTTAAGAAAATCATCTGCTTTGTGCCCATTATAATTTCCACATATTCCGCAGACTTTAGACATGTAGGTACTGGGAATAGTGATTTCTGCTCTGTGATTTCCATCAAACTTGACATTCAGCCCAAAGTCAGTAGTAACCACAACATACTGCCCACTGAAGGAAATACTGATACCCTGTGCCAAGATCAGAGGGACCACCTGGCTGACTCCATCAACCTGCAGGCACAGAGAAGGACAACCATTATAATCACTTTAAAAGAAGTATTTTTAATGGTGACCATCTTAGATCACATCCCTGTATTGAGCGTAGGACTTGCACAATGAGCAGTAAGAACTCACATTGTGTTTGTATTATTTAACAGGAATGCAGTATATGGGTAGGTAATCTAGGGCCTTGAAGCCATAATAATGTTGCTATGTAGCTTCCAAGTGCGATCAAAGTGAGCCTGGTGAACCAGACCCAGCTGGCAAAAGTCCAAGCCTTAGCATGGTCTGTCAGCACTAACTGCTTACAGACCTATCTTTTAGTCTGGATCAAATAAGAATTTAAAAAAATGTAGTTAGAATGGATTCTCAGAAATTTTTCAGGATTGGTTAAATCTTGAAAAAGCTTCTTTTTGTTTCTTCCTCTTTCTCTTTTAATTTTCACATTTGAAATGCCAGATGATAGAAAGTAAGTGTCCAAGTAAAATTTTCAATTTATTTAAAATGTACTAAAACTAGCATCTACTTTGAACACTTGTTCTTAGTATATAAACAAGAAAGTTTGGTTTACTTAGAAACATATATATAATAAAACCAGTAAATACAGGGGAAAGGTATAAAAGAGAAGCTGACAATAGATAGTGGGCTCCAACCTTACCTTAACAATTCTGTTTTTACCCAGATTGATCCTGTAGCCATACACATCGATGTCCACGTATCGGACATAGGACACGTGAGTGTTGCTTCCCCTGTGCTCATTGGCTGCTTCCACATTGAAGTAGGGCAGAGAACTGTTGCTGTCACAGAGCTTGGAGAGGGTGTAGGTGCAGGTGCCCATGAAGTCATGACGCTGCTTGTCGAATGTGTTATAGTGAGGATCCCCATGTATACTGCAAATTGCTTCTGGAGACAGGAAAAAGGAATATGCTCTCATTAACATCTGGACGCATTCACAAAAGTCACCTCATTGTGCAGTGGGAAAACACAATCATCCCCATTTTATAGTTTACATATGGAATAACTGAAAGAGAAAAGGCAGATTTATATGGCATAAGGCAATGTCCTGGAGAGATACCCAAAGAAATTAACTGAAGCAAATAAGTAGCACTGCTAGTAAAAAATTTAGGTGCCCTTCTACAACCCATTGAATAGCGTATGTAAATGGCTAAAATTACCTGTCACTGGAGGTGGTGTAGGTTCTGTTGGTGTAGGTGTTGGTGGTACAGGAGTAGAAATACCTTCTGTTACTACAAAAGACAAGGCAATACAAAGAGTCATAACATTACAGGGTCAACACCACATACACACCAACATACATGAATTTCCACTTATTCTTCACCAGCATAAAATTAGAAGTTTTTAACGGAAGCAAGTGGAACTACCTATAGTTGAAACCGAGGATGTGTGGGTCTTTTGAGGGCTTAGGAAAGCTCATCTGATTGCTAGCTTGGTGACAGTGACCGAGCTCATGCTGGCATGCTTTTCTGGAACTGGAAGTGTATTTACAATTGGATATGTGACTCCCTCTGGTGTGTATGTTAAGGCATGAAGGTCATACTGTCTGCAAGTGTTGGCAGGTCTGGGAGTGCATAGCCTGCCAGCAGATGTCATATAGCAGAAACAAATAACTCTCAGGGCACTGGTGGTTTCTAATCAGAGAGTTTTGCTGTTTCTTCAAAATGATATTTATTTCTTAGAAATGTGACAGCTATAAGAGCTTTCTACTGACAGACACAACAAACAGTCGGATTGTGGAGCCCTCCCTCATTCCTGCTTCTCCTTGCTAACAAATATTACCATCTTCACCTATTCTTTATCCCTCACAAAGGTATCTTCTAAAAGAAGTGGTCCTCTTGGTGTACTTGTATGTGTAAGCTAGCAACACCAGGATGAGTATTCTCTTGATGTCATGTTCATTCACCTGGTGACATGCGAATGAGTGGTGGATCTGAATCTCTGGAAGTACAACAGACTGCCTAAAACCTTCAGAGCATGCACATTCACTCCTGCCCCTTTGCAGAACAAAGAACAACTCTACTCATTCAGGTAGTCTCCTATTGCACCCTTGTGAGCCCTCCACTATGTACTGAGTGTGCGATAACAGTCACCATATGAGGAGATAACCAAATGATAAATTGATTCATGGAGAACAATGCTTTCCAATCTACTTATAGATGCACTACAGGTATATAATCATCCAAATCAATCCACAAGTAAGGCAGTTGGTCTTCCATTATTACTGACACTGCTAATGACATTATTTATAGGATTAAGTTGTAATAGAGAAAACAAGTTATACAAGAACAAGTTAGAGATTTTTGAATAATGATGCAGTAACTACATACTATGATGGTACTGCTTTTATGCTAACTATGTGATTCAAAATCAGCTGGATGTGGGGGTTTTGCAAGATTATGATTTAGAAGCAGCCAACAGACTTCACATAACTTGAAGTCTAGTGTATACTGATAAATCTCTGCACAAAATGATCCTGTTCACTTAATAAGCTCTAACTTCAAAGCTGAAGATATTTTGTAATAATCTGCCTGCAAAATGGGATCGGCTCCTTTGCATGCACTGCTTGCTTCTACACCTGCTTCTTATATGCCCGCTTCTTCACATTCAGCTCCCTACTCGAGTGTAAATGCAGTTTTTGCATATCTAGCCCAGAATTGCTCTTTTTGCCCTTTCACCATTGGCGAAAAATTACAGGAATCCTGACAATGGCCGTATTCGCACAATGGATAATTCCCAACAAGCTTTAAGTTAACTTTGTTGTAGGGCTGAGGAAAAAAACAGAAGAAAACCTCTTCCTAAGATTATTGTCCCTTGAGATCCAAGGTGAAGAAGTTCTGCAAATGACATGAATATCAAACATCATAACCTAAAGACTGCTTGCTAAAGTTGCCTTGGAAGCTAATTTTTCATGTAACAAATGAACATATATTTAGTTTTTCATGAGTTTGATTAAAATGTCTATTTAATCAAAGATTCTTGCAGAAACAAAAAGGGTGGGAGGACTTTGACTTTTAGCAGAACTAGTAATTCACTTACCTTTCATCGTATTAGTAGTCATACAATTGAACCAGGGGAGGAGCACTTTTCTCTTGGAGCTACATTAGTGCACCATCCAGTGGCTGAATCATGTGCTAATATGCCTGGGAAAATTAAGAATGGCTCTCCCTAGGCCCTCCCCCAAAAGACCTCAAGTATTTTTCACAGAATTTTAAAGCAAATTAAATGGTATGAGAGTGTGGACCTAAATTAAAATCTTTGTCCTGGCTAGCATAAATTTGAAACATTTTATTGTCATTATATGAGTAGCATTTCACAGAGTGCGAGGCCTATTGAGACCTAATGACCCTTTCTATATTGTTTTTAGCAAGTTTCTTGTTCAATTCACATTTTGTAAGTATTGCATACTTGTCAGTAAAGATGGGAGGAAACTGTAATTCACTTCCATACCCTAGTCATCCACAGCTTCTGCCAGCCTTTGTTACAGGGTCAGGGATCAAGCTCAGATTGCTGATTCATAGTCAGAGCTGGTAGTGCAATTCAGTGTTATTGACTCACTGTTGTTTCTTTTTGTGACATATGGCAGTGCTGTGTATTTGCTGAGCGTGTATGAACTGAGATTTGCTGTAAAATGCCGATTAGAGCATTTAATCTGGAATCCAAGACCAATGCGCATAGCCTTGGCTGGGTTTAGCAATGCACTTCAGACTTAAAATAAAGGTAAAGTTTCCTGGACCTTGTGAAAATGGTCACATTTGCAGAGAAGGGGATAGCTTGTTCTGAACATTTGAGGTGGTGAGAAAAGATTTAGACATAACATTCAAATGAAGCGAGCTGTAAAGTTTTTGCCATTTCTCTTTTGTGGTTCAAAGTTATGAGGAGTTTCTATATTGTATATGGAATTGACTAATGGTCAACAGCTTAAACAGAGATGAGGAAGGAGTGTACATTATGGTGCAGACACAGACTTACCACAGGATCCATCCCTTACTCTCACATTGTCCAGTGCTGTATCCCCATACTCCGTCAATCCTCGAACAGCCTCAAAAATTACCTAGGCAGGATGCAAAGTAAATCACTGCATCAGAGTTGTTTAGGCCAATGTGAGACCATTTCCCTTAGCATGTTTTCAAAATATTCTTTCTGGTCTATCTCTAAAGGCATCAAGTAAGCTAAGACTATAACAGTTTTCCTAGCTTCCCTCAGAAGCCTAAAATTATATTCTGTAATAAGGTAAGGAATTCAAGAAAGATTGCCCTCTATTTTGGTGACTTAGAATTGATTTATGAGAATTAGTTGTCTGGATTCTAAAGAGGGGTCCAATGTTGGCAGCATCCCAAGTTCAAACTAACTCACAGCTGACAAACATTAATTAAGGCACCTAAAGTCCTTGACTTCATGATAAAATAAAGGAGGGATGGAAGGAAAAAGAAAGAAAACTAAATATATATTATCCCCTAACTAACAGCACCAGTAAAACTCGGGGGGTTGTCTGTTTCTTCTCTTAGCTCATTGGCATAAAACACGAGGCTACTATACTTACAAAATATAAACGAAGCAAATCTTGGTTATATTTTCTAGCTTACATGCACAACCTTTTGCAGCCTGCAAAAGGAGAACAAATCCTGACACTGTACAAAGAAATTTATTCTGAAAATATATTACCTTTATCTTTCTCTGTGATGGAAAAGTATGAGTGATGGCACCATAGTTCCACAAGGAACTCTGGTTTCCCTTCCGACTCCATATTATAGACTCCTCTGTGTTGTCTTGGATAAGCACTCTCAGCTCGTTCATGTCTTCTGACCCAAACATATAGTACCAGAAATCTATGCATATTTCTTCAGAAACCACAGTTTCTGGGCTCTCAAGTCTGTTAGTGTCAAATGGGATCAGATTACTTGCTTCTTGGTAGATGAAATAGCCTTCTGCAGAGTGAAAAAAAAATAATAGGGTTGAATCTTTGTAACTTGTTAGGTGTCATTTAAAAGTGAAGTACAACCCAAGTCTGGAAGAAATCAAGGGCATCATTAGCAGTGCAAAGAAATAAAGTAGAAGGTGTTTACATTGCAATGGTTAGCACCATGTAGTCATCAAATAGAATGTGAGCTGGGGAGCAAAGCAAATATATCCCGTCTCACATGAACACTTATTTTGGGATCACAAATAAAGATGTAGGCCTCTCTCAAGAGACAGCACCTCCAGACACAGTGTCTTGTTCAGTTTCCTCTTTCCTCAAAGGAAAATAATGTAATCTGCTATACACCTTCTCTCACAGGATATGTTTTTTCTAAAGATTTTGGTCTCAGGATGAGCAAATTCCCAGCACAAGGACAATTCCAACCCATCAACATTTGCTTTTGTCTCAAAATGGAAGGGATAGAAAGCAATGCAGACATTTCCATCAAAATATTTAGGTTTGACGCTACGAAATGGAAAGAAACTTTTCAAAATTCAGAAACAGCTTAGGATTTGAAATGCTTTAGTCTGAATTGCTTCAATATGAGACCACATTTTGCTTTAATAGGCCTGAATTTTTTTGTTCCCATGGGCTAAAATCAAAGCTACATTTCCCCAGTGCTATTAAAGTCAAGTCTCTCCCATCTGACTATAGAAAGGAATCAAAAAGAAATCAATGACCATTTCTATATCATAAAGTATGGCTCCACACATAGTATCTAACATTCAGTCATATGTTTTCATTGGCAAGAAAATATAAGTCACATTTAAAGATATATGGTCTGTGTCAATTCAAAAAGCAAAATATTATTTGTGTGAATCCAAATTAAAAATATTTAATTTCTTCTTTCAACAGGTGATTTTAGTTTTTATTATGAAAATACGAAAAATGCAGAAAATTATTTAGCAAAAATCCCAACTAATACCTTTCTAATCTGCTTACTAACAGTCTGACAGTAACTGACCTTTCATGCTCGGGATAATTACAGAAAGCAGTGTGACTGCAGATTGATCCCCCATAAATGGATCTGCTAGTGCAAGGACAGTGGTTCAAACAGATAGAGATGGAGCCACACTAAGCACTGGGTTGATGATATGACCATGTTAGACTCCAGTTTTTCAATCACATGTAGCTGTGGACAAGCTTTTTAAAGATATTCTTTAATTTCAAGATTGATCTTGTAATATTTTGCTAGCATGAACATTATCTAGTGCTAGTACAGTGATCATTACGTTTATTGCCATTAACTGATATCAGTTAACTTGGCCACAAGACCTCTCTTGAATACTGATCTGCTGCATGTCACTGGATTCTTTAAGAGGCCTTAAGCATAACATAATCAGCTTTCTTCTACTTCCTTACACTAATAAAGATTTCCAACTCATGATGGGTCAACTCAGTTTGATTTACTCGTAACTGACATGGTGTCAGCATGAAACAAAACTGACACATTGCAAAGGGCTTCATGAATCTCTTTTTCAAAGAAACAAGAATGAAGGTAGTCAAGCTGTCTTCAGAAGGAAATCAACAATGCTACAACCGAGCGCTTACTTCCATCAGGATAGTCTCCATCAGGACCTGTTCCATCAGTCGGAGTGTCATGCTTGGTTCGTATCCACACTCCCTGGTTGGCATTGCAAGGTTGGGTCCAGTCACAAAATGGTCTTGAGTTGTTGTTAAAATCACATCTAGTGAGGTAAGCTGAAATACAACACATTAAAGTAAGAGACGGGAGCTAGTGTGTTCAAAATCTGCCTTGGATGTTAACAGCACTAATGACATGCAGTTACCTGTTTCAGGATCCCATGTTCTGAAGCCACCAATTGGTCTTTGCTTGATCCTGCCAAGAAAAAACAACACAGTGAAGCCCTCATGGAATTAATGACTCAAAAACTGTTTAAGAAAGGATGTTGGGACCTCAACATATGTCTTTGGGTGCTTCACTGAATAACTGAATAGGCCCATGGTTTCATCCATGTCTGACTCTTTCTCTTCCCATATGTTCTTACTGCTTCATGATAAAGTTCTGGGAGTGAGTCAAAGATGGGATATCTTCATCTAGTGTGGAAGGATCCTCTATTCTGTATACCTCTATTCTGTATAACTGAAAGGAGGCCAGCTCTCCTAAGTTCAGGGAGCTACGGAAGGGATGGGTGGATGCAGCTCAGCTCAGACAATACAAGGACAATAGCAAAGACTTGCCATTAACTTGCTCGTGGCATTGTTATCCCCACTGTTGCAAAGCAAAGTGTAAACGCCAGTAAACTAGCATACTGTGTAACTCTGTTACTTGTTGGAAGGCTACGTATTTCCTTTAACCTCTGAAAATCTCTCATGACACAAAGCTGTCATCTGATTCAGGTCTTCTAATTTACCCTGAAAATGCTGCAGAATAAAGGCAGTTACAAATGCATAGTCCTTGTGGTGCTACAAAGTCCTGCAGAGATGAGTTGACACAAGACCAAAATCTCAACACAGATGACAGCATAGATGGCTCTGCTCTTTGGGTGTTTTGCATAGGGAAGGGATTTCCAGGACTGCAAAGCTACAATAGTAGTTCTTGACATGCTCTGATGGTGGTCCACAGTTTCAGGAGGCAAGGTTCGGTTCCATCCTCTGTGGTGCCCTCTCCTCAATTATCATTATTGTACTTGCCACAGTATAAAAAATCTGTCCTTAAGTGAATGCATCGCAGTGAATGTCACCACTGGCCCTCAAAATCTAAGCAATGACATTCAGAGAAACTAGGGAGATTAGGAGCAAACATCACATAATCAATTCATCAATGAAATGCAGCAAGCAACTGGAAAACAGACTGAGGCGGAAAAAGAATAAGTAAAGATGGACAAAGTAAGAAAATTTTCGTCATGTTTTCTTCCTGGATTTCTTCTTCCACGAGAAAGGGAAAGCTGGTCTCTATTCAGTGCTGTCTTTAAACAGTTACATATTGGGCAAGTCCTAAGGCAAAGGTTGCTGTAGGTATATTCAGAGTCAGAAGCGTTTTATAACTACACTACTGCGATAATTTTATCAACATCTCTCCTTTTGAGATGTGCCATTAAAAATCCATGTGTTATGGGTTCCTCTCAGACAGGAACCAGCACAGAATTAGGCAACAATAAAATTCAATTATTTATTATTTTTAAAAATTACATGGTTCAATTGTACAACATTCCACATTCAAAAAGTGAAGAAACATTCTAAATCTAAAAAGTGAAGAAAGAATATTTATCATTAACAGCTAAGTTTCCTGAATTAAGCTACATTCAGTACTGTGCTACTTACCCTGCAGTATTCACCACTGAAATAGAGAATAAAATTAAAGTGTATTGTAAGTGCCAGAGGGTCCCCATGCTAGAAGACAGACTAAAGACTTCTGTGTGGTAAAGTTTGCATAGTAATCCACGAGCTGTACTCAGCAAGGAGGAAATGAGGACAACCTACAGTGAAACAGGAGAATATATTGACCAGAGGGTGGAGGCGATAATAAAAACCTGTCCAGCCATGTATCAGTTATGGTCCCTGGGTTATCTACCTCAAGAAAAGCACATATGAACCGAAAACTCATATTTTGTGTCACTTGCTTTGATGCCCTTAGTTGTTTGCAGGAGAAATTGATTTGATTTTGGCAATATTTGTTATTGCTGTTGTATATTAAAAAGTCTGCAATTTTAAAGGGAGTTTTTTCTCTCATTGATAGCAAGACAACTTTCTTCATTTTAAAACTCCTGCCTAGTTTTCACTGCTAGTATAAGTGAGATTTCTCATATTGACTGAATTTTCTCCTTTTCTCAAACTAGCATTCAGCAGAGCAGATAACAAGCTTTCAATTACTCACAACAGTCATGTTGTCATGGGTACAATACAGGGACTTGCTGAAATATTATTGCTACCTTATTGCCCTGCTTAAAAATAAAAGGGTCATTTTCTGGGCTGCAGCGAAGTCTCTGTTGGTTTCTGGCACAGAAAACTCAGGTGGATCATTCCCACTGCCACTTGAGCCTTTTACTGTTCTGCTCTTTTGCAGCATTCCTTGCATTGCAGTCTGCAAAAAAATGTCTCAAAGGAAGCCTAATACCCTACTTCATCTTGATTTCATAAGTGATGAGAATCAAAAGAGTATCAAAAAAATGTACAGAGTTTCCTTGCATTGCCTGAAAACCCCAGACCATGGCTCTTATTTTGTGTAAAAGGTGGGGTCTCCAGGAGTGGAGTTTTCTGGAAAAGTGGTCTCTTAGTTACAACCACTTTCCCTTTGTGATTATATTTTGATGATTAAGGTCATTAAGGTTTCAAAATTTAAGTCTGGAATTTCTTCAACTCCCTTTCCCCCTGCTCAGCATATATGCTGTTAACAAGTAGCTGAAGAGGCTGCTTACAGAAACAAGAGAAATAAGGAAGGATCAAGGGAGACTAAACAGAAACACACATATATTTCAAGTAAACAACTAGCTAATGTGTTGACAATGGGCCTGGGGCTGCATTCTGCCACAAGCTCATGCCGCACACAAGCCCCTCCAAAGCCAGAGGGTGGATGTTCACTTGACTGGTAATCATCCCTCTCCAATGAAAATCCTTTCCTAGGAAGATGTGTGTATTTTTGCCAGTCAGTAGCCAGGGAAGAGGATTTCTGTGATTTAGAGACAGAAGTCATTCCCTGCATAAAACCACTGACCATACTTTTCCAGTTCAGTTAAGAAGAGCCCAGTGTGAGGGGGAGAATACAAGTGACCTTCAGATAAAAGTTGCATTGAGCACACCACATTTTCAGCAGGGCTGCCGAGATGCTGGTCCAGCAAGTAGTAATCTGGGCAAAAGCTGTCCTTAGCACAGTAATGGGTAGCAAGGGGCCCTCCCTGTGTGCACATGCTTTCCTTCTGCAGACAATTTAGGGATTCCTCATGATGCTCTGCATGATTCTGACACGAAGATGTGAGCCCATCTTGGAAAGAAAGCAATCTTCTGGTAAATCTGTCCATCCAGATGATGCACTGTCTTTGACTCCTCCTCACCCAGGGCAAGTATGAGGCACTGCAGCACCATGAAGACTCCTGTCAATAGAACATGGCATGATCTCCTGCCATGCTGTGTGATCTTTTCTGTCACTTTGTCACTCCTGTTCCATGCCAGCTCAGGTACTCCATGAAAGGGGAACTGGAGTACTGATTAGGGCTTTTTGCTGAGGGACAAATATTAATAACCTCTTTTACACATGGGAAGGATGACAAGGAAATGACTTGCCATTTGATTCCAGTGGAATGTGACAGTATCCTGCATTCCTGACAGTCAAACTGATCACCTTGCTGGCCTACTATTTCTCTTCTCCATCTTGCATGCTTTGTATCTCTGAAAGACGCCTGGGAGACAGTGCCATTTGTATAAAAATACTGGTCTGGTCCTCACAGCAACCCGAGGGAGAAGAAGAACAGCAGTTCCTCATTTCTAATACAATGAAACTAAAATTCTTTCCAAGGAAGGGCATTTGCAGACAATCTTACAAACAAGTTACATTTTACTTCTGCCTTAAACCAAGGATGCAAGTGATGCACACCTGGCAGCTAATCCCTATGACTAGCTTCCTAGTGCTCTGTACTGTTGTGTTTCTTTTTGAAACCAGACACCAGATTTCACCCCATCTGCAGCCAGCATTAGAAATACTCCTCACCTGCTGCCTGCTGACAAGGCACACTGGGGCTACTCACAGGAACTAATTGCCTTTAGGTGACACAAACAGATTTCCCACATAAAATCTGCAGAAGAAGATCCCAATAGTAAGACTTGTCAAAGAACAGTGCGATAGGCGACATCCTCAAAAGGACAGAGATAATACTGCATACAACTTTGTTTCTGGCTAGTGGTCAGAAACAGGCTCTTAAAGAAACTCTCAATTTTTGCAGGATGAAGTTTTTTCCCAGGAAACATAATCAGCCCTATAACCTGGCAAAGGGACAGCGCAATGAAGACAGAACCAAAAAAAATTGTCCCAAGCAAGACAAATAAAACAGTAAAAGAAGCAAACTCAGCAATTCATCCATTCTAGTGAGTGCTGTCTAGCACAGCTTTTGCTGCGTGGTTATTCTAGCATATGTAATTGTCCTCAAGTATCTAAATCTGGTTACTCCATTTTCTTGAATCCATGTGTTCTCTGATGAACAGCAATTGCACTTTACCTGTTGCTAATGCTCAGTCTGTGGTGTTGTAAAAAGTAGAAAGCGAGCTAGGGAGCTTAACAAGCTTAAAAAATGGGGAAAATTATACAAAACCTTTCTCCTAAACCATAGGTTTGGGCCCAGTTGAGCCTCATAGTGACACTGTGGGAGCCTGCCACACTGCTACCTAGCACAAAGCAGAGATGTCACCAGCTGATATGAAATACTGATGTCTTGTGGAGATGCACTTGCAGCACATGCAAATCCCATGGCCTATTTTGTCTAAGGCTATATCTAGAAGAAATTTTAATTGGATTAACTAAATAGTTGTTCTTAAATGGCAGAATTCTGTGCAGAGTCTCTTAATTTGGAATACATCAGGTTCAGTAAATTTGCACATAAAACCTAAACATCTTTATCTGATTTTCAGACAATATAAATGTATCTCACTGGGCTTTGCACAGATTTAACTGCATTGGGGTTTCGCATTGATTTTAGTTAAACTGATACAATTTACATGACTACAAGTGTCTCTCTGTAGTTTCTGTTCAGGTAATAATTGCGTTCTTTCTCTAGCCTAACAAATTACTGAGTCAGCTTTTGCAGCCTGTAATTCCTCTGCAGCATGTAATTCCTTTGTTGCTGTTTATAGAGCTGCCAGTGCCCTCTGGGCTCCACTCTGTGTTTACTGACATTGCGTATGAGAAGGCAGATTACTCGTTCCTTCATAAACCTGTCTATGCCAGACTCTCGTTGGAGCTACCCCCAAGTCACTGCACTGGTAAACCTTCACTAAGGAGTTATGAAACAATCAATCAGCACCCATAAATCCATAATTAGATAAATTTAGATTATACAGAAGCGCAACTAATCCCACCTTTGCTCTGTTGAGTAACATGCTTTGATAGGCTGAGAAGGAAGTACACATATCTCTGTTGCTAGAAAATAAAGGGATGCTTCATTGATGAGTAAAGTGTACTTGTGCTCTGTTGAGAACAAGCTGACGTTGGTTTTCTAACTGCTGGCTCTCCAAATTGAAGCATAGATTTGAAATTCAAGCTGTCTTTTTCCTGGTCTGAGAGCTGTAATGATTCTGAAAACAGAATGCAGCGTTCTTATTAGAGTGTAGGTGCCAGATTAAAATTTCTTTCTCTTTCTTATGTTTTGAACAGGGCAGAGCTAACACAAATAAAAAGATAGCAGCTTTTTGGCTGGTATTCTCAGTTGTCAGATTGCCTATGGACAAAATTCCTGTGTGCACATACTACTCTCATGCTGTGACCTAAAAGAAATGCATTTTCAAGGTGAAGTTCACGAGTTTATTAGGTGCTTACAAATGTGTACTATATGGATAATGTATTACTAAAATTGTAACTATTAAGGCCTTTCTTATCTTTGAGTTGACTTAGACTCACAATGTATTTCATTTCCAGCATACCAAGGTAAAGAACATAACACTCCTCATGATTAATGCAATAAAGAGTTTTTGCTGGCATTCCAATGGACATTTGAATAAAGAAAAGACTGTCACAGGTAAAACTACTTTCTTCTTAATTTTTGTGTGCTATAGCTGCAATCATGAGATAAGTAAATCAGTTTGTAAAAGACCAGAAATCTTTCCAAGTCTGTCTATTAATAATAGATGAGATATGAAAGACAACTTTGAATATGTATTTTGGGAGCAGTTCTCTGGCAGGAGGAAACTGCTGATATTTATCTCTTTAACTGCCTTTATGTAAGTTTGGGGTTTTTTTATTCAGTGATAATCTAATCAGTTGCTTCTGACTCACTGGAGTTCAGCAATTTCGTATCTGCACTTTGATGTATTTTACATTTATTGGCTTGGATCTACAATATACAACAAACCTGTGGTGTGCAAAGACCATTCTCTGACAGTAGTTTCATTCAGAGGCAAAGTGGTGCTTTCTATTTCCATCAATGGGTTTGTAAAACCAAGCTACCTACAGAGATAAAGGATTTATGGTGAGGTACTGGAAGAGGTTGCCCAGAGAGGTTGTGGATGCCCCATCCCTGGAAGTGTTTAAGACCAGGTTGGATGAGGCTTTGGGCAATGTGGTCTAGTGGAGGGTGTCCCTGTCCGCAGCAGGGGGGTTGGAACTAGATGATCTTTAAGGTCCCTTCCAACCCAAACCATTCTACGATTCTGTGATTCTATGATTTAGACTGCTCCAAAGATCTGATTCTGCCCTTGCACTGTTTCGATTCCAATATTCT